ATGTGTATGCATATGGTATATATGAGTATATTATATATATATTAAAAATATATTTATAGACTATTAAATGATGAGTGATTGTTGTCATTGTGTGTGACCCAGTGGATACTTATGGAGATGCTGAATAGGATAAGTTATGGGAAAAGTTAAGAGACATCTTGGATGAGTGAGATCCTCAGGAGTATATGAATGTAACTGGAGATATGAATAGATGGGTGGATGTGAAGAGACAGATGTCTGAGAGGGTGCTGGATCTATATCAGGAATGAGCAAACTTTTTCTAAGGACAGCATTTGAAAACTTGAACTGATGCTGATCGCATACAAGATAAAACAGGGAGAAAAAATGTTAGTATATCACATTTATTCATATCTAACTATATAAAGATGAAAAACCAGATTCTTTCTTTCTGTCACTGAAGGCCAAAAATGGCCACTAAGAGCACCCTAGCTATTATTTAAATTAATAATAAATTCGGTATATTATTATTTGATGTGGTTTTTTGCATTTTTGGCTGCGTTTTAGTAGGATACACCGTGAGAAATTCAGTATATTATTATTTTTATTTGTAATAGGAATTTATTATTTATACTATGGAATGACACCGCAGCTGCTAGAATGCCCACTAGGGGGCATCCCGGGCTACTAGAATAGAAGGATTAGAAGTACGAAATAATCTAATAATCTTAATCTTTATTTTTGTTTTTTGCCCTGGTATAATTATAAATTAGAATAGGTATGCTTAATTTAGCTTCTGGAACTGATGTAAATGTAATATGTCATAAATATTAGTCCTTGCTAGTTTTAAATTAGTTTTGACGTAAGTCTGTTAGCCAGTTTCTTGTTTTAATTTATACTAAATTCATTGCAGGAAAAACTATTCACATACATAAGTTGTAGAATATGATGTTTGAATTTTTGCTGCATACTTCCTTAAGCTGGGAAATTGATATAATGATACCTATTTTATGCGATACAGGCCACAAAAAATATTAATGCCCATCCCTGTCTATATTCTGATTTACAGGCAAACAATAACAGAGAATTGATTGTGCTCTGTGTGAAAAGAGACCTATGGGTGTCTAACACCTTCTTTCCCACACAAGACTATTCATCAATACACATAGGAAAATTGTATGAAAGGTCAGAGAAGTATAATAGATTTTGTTCTGTACGATGATAGATTGAGAGGGATAGTGGAGGATACAAGAATAATTAGAATAGCTCACTGTGGCTCGTACCATTACTTAGTGGTATCAAAGATGCAACAAAAGTGGAAAATAGTGGCAGAACAAAAGGAGGAAAATAGTGGTTCTGCAGTGAGTAAAAACGGGGCATCTGAGTAGAGAAAGCATGTTGAATTGAAACTGGTGAAAGTGAATGAGGAGTCGAGTAATGTGGAAGAGATTTGGAAACATTTCCAATCTTATATAGTAGAAACAGCAAGAGAGGTATTTGTTGTAACAAGAGTGGGCTGTGAAAGAGGGACAGCGTGGTGGAATGACAAAGTTGAGGTAGCAGTGAAAAAGAAAAAAGTTGCATATATGGACCGACTGAAAGGCAGCATGAATGAGGAAGAGTGTAGAACAAAGAAATAAGAAGCTGTACGAGTGATTAAGAAAATCAAGGACAGAATGAACAAAGAAAGCATTTACAAGGGGCATTTCAGGATAATGGAAAACTGTTCTGGAAGCAAATGAAGAATGTATGTGGTAACATAAAGTGTACCCTGTGTACAAATTGCAAATTGTGATCTGCTACAAGATGAATGTAAGGAGCATAGTAGGGTAGTGTCAATACTTTGAAAGCCTGTTGAGTGATAGTGGAGGTAGCAAGAATGGAAAGAAGTTGTAAAGATAAATGAAAGTAGCAATCAATGTGGTCCTATTCAACAGAGTGAGGTTAGGAATGCAATAAAAAGGACGTGAAATGGCAAATTTCCTGGTATGGATGGTGTGACTAGAAATGTTAAAATACAAAAAAATGGGATGTTCCAACTCTGCAACCCATGTTGGGATAAAAGCATGGTGCCATGAGATTGGAGAAATGCCACAGTTGTTCCAATATACAAGGGAAAAAGTGAAGGACAGACTGAAAGAACTTCTACAGTCAAAGCTTGCAAAGTATACCCAGATAAGTGTTTGTACAAAAGTTGATTGACAGAGAACACCTTGGAAGAGGCACCTGTGGCAAATCACCACAAAATTCTGATAATGTCTTGTGTAAGACATTGTACATAAGTGATGCAGTGGTGTTCTTCAGTATTCTCCATTCATACCATTTGATATGTAGATGGTGATCTACATATCAAATGGTATTTACTGTGTTTATTCATTTTATTGTTTTTCAGCTTTGAATCAGGTGATAATGTATCTGTGGTGTGCTTGATCCTATTCTCCTTGTTATATAATTTTTGCATACTTCTTAATCTATTTTTTAAAATGTATTTGAAAGACTTGTTTGTATTTTGAATATTTATTACATATACAAAGGTCTGTCCCAAAAGTAAGTGTACTGATTTTTTTATTTAATGACAGTAAAGCTTAACATATTATTAATTTGTATTTTCATGTTGCTAGATATCTTAGCAGCATATATACATCTGATTCAAGTTGATTGGTTAAGTCAAATGTGCACAATCTCTGTTTGTGTAAGATAGTGTTTTAACACATCACTACATTTGAAATGGAGAAAAATCTCAAAAACGTTACGCTATCGTGCGAAACTCAAGAAAGTTGCAACCGAGACATTTGCAGATTTAATCAAAGCTTACGAAGATGCCACTTTATCGAGAAACGCAGCGTTTAGACAGCATAAAGATCCAGCGTAAAGATGACGCTTATCATTTTTTTCGACAGCCGCGGAATAGCGCACGTAGAATTTTTACCCTCAGAACATTTAGTTAATCGATCCTTCTACAAAGACGTCTCGGAACAACTTCGAAAACGGTCAAGCAAGTCCAAGGGGGCATTGCAGAAGATCGGATGCCACGCCGCACTCGCGGCACTATCGATTCAAGCGTTTTTGGCCAAGAAAAAATCTCCACGCTCTCGCAACATACTTAGAACCGCAGACGCCGGCATCCTATCCGGAAAGAGGCAGGCAAGGAGCAAACGCCGCCGCGAAAGAGAATAAAACCAAAGCGACGACATTCGAAGGCGGAGGACGACCGAAGGGAGGCGCCACGGAGCGAACGGCCAGAATGGGCGGACCGGTCCCAGCATCCGAAAACGGGGAGTCACGGGCGGCGAAGTGGCCAAAAGAGGGCCATTTCGGAAAGCGAGACGAGTAGATCCGCCGGGGACGAAAAGACGTCGGACGAAAGCGGCAAAAGAAGCACAAAAGCGAGGGAGGCACGTCCGGAGGGGAAGGGGCAGAGAAAGTCGACAAACGAACGGCAGCACTTCGCCGTCGATTTTGGACGGCAAGCAGGAATATGTCGTCCGGCCGAAATGCAAAAAAAATCGCAGACATATAACTTTCCGTACCTGATCTCGAGAACGGGTACGAATTTTAAACGCATTGCTCCGCAAGACATATTTATAAAACAATTTAAATCCCGCTCGCCACACGTCACACTCGTAATTGGTCGATTTTAGTTGGAGTAGCTGACGATACGGTATAATTAAAAAATACACAATATTCACCCAGCATTTTGGTATCGTATCTTAAACGACTCGTATCGAAACAAAGTGTAATAAGAGATTTGCGATGTATAATTGATAACTTTTTACTTATTACAAGAAACAAACTACAGTGGAACCTCGGTATACGTCTGCTTTAGAATACGTCCAATTCGGAATACATCCTGTTTGGACGAAACAAATTTTGCTCGGTATACGACTTTTGTTCGGTATACGACTTAATTCAATTATACGCGCCATCTATGAACAAGTAGCACTATCGGTGTACTACACTAGACTAGACGTTCGCGGTGCTACGGTTTATAACTTTGTTAAATTTCTTCTGATTTTAATTTGTAAGTAACATTTTATTATTTTTATTAATCATGAATTGCAAAAGGGCAACAGAAAAATAAAAAAATGACTAGAATCACAACGGAACTGAAAAAAGAGATTGTTGAGAAATGTGAAGGTGGCACGCGTGTTCGAGATTTAACTGTTGCATTACGTATTCTGAGAATGACAATATCGACAATCGTGAAAAATAAAGACATTATTAAATTTGCTAACTTTGCCGTTGCGAAAGGGGGTTAAATCAATTTCTAAACAGACATCGAAGACATTAGATCATGTCGAGAAATTGCTTTTGCTTTGGATAACTGAAAAACAGTGTGCCGGCGACAGCGTATCGGAAGAAATTATTTGTGAGAAAGTTAAAAGGATACACGCTGATCTCATGAAAAATCAAGCAGAAACTAGCCAGGAAAGCCAGGTGTTTAAAGCCAGCCATTTTTTTTACATGAGAACGGATTAATCATTTTTACATTACTTCTTATGGAAAAGGTTGGTTTGGTATACGTCCTATTCGGTATAAGTCCAAACACCAGGAACGGATTAAGGTCGTATACCGAGGTTCCACTGTATACGGATGTGGTTAATTCACGTATACGGTGCGGCGACTTCAAAATGCAAACGTACTTATTCAGACTTTAAGCAGTTCGGAACGCGTCGTCCGAATATAAAACGACACAGACAGCCGAGGGTCGTCGCCTCTCTTCCGCCGGAAAATCCTTTCTCGCTGCGATTTGTGCCCAGAAACAATTGCTAAAGGCGAGTGACCGGCGCAAAACTGATACAGATAGCCCAAATATCGCCTACCCGAGTTTACTTTTAATCGACCAACGGGCCTCGTTTGGAATAATGGCGGCTTAAAGTCTCGTGATCTCCAACAGCCAATAAAAAGGCGTTACTCGCGCGGCCTTCGCACGATCCCACGCGTCCGATTTAAACCGCCTTTCGGATTTTACCTCGGCCTTCGTGGAACTAATCGAGAATTCGTCTTCCGCCCGTCCCCCGCGTCATTTAAAATAAACTTACGAAGGATAGCCGAGCTCCGTTTTCTAGCCGCGCATCCATTTTCCCATCACCCAACGGTCGAAGTTGAAATTACGGAAATATTCCACTTCCGTCACTCCACGTACCGAATTGTCCGGGCGACCCGCCCACGAAATCAGCCCAAAACTTACCGAAAGAAATTCCCCGGCCGCGCTTTCCGGTCCACCCGCCCGGGATAGAAGCTTTTATTTCGAATCCAAGTCTTTTATAAAACGGAAATTCGATTCGGATGGGAAATTTTAAAATTCGCCAGTTAAATAATCGGAGACGATTTCTGGCAATTCGGCCGGCACCGATTTTAGAGTATTGTATTTCTATTCGTACTGTAGTACTGTATTCTATCTGCGCAAATCGTTGCGCAGACTATTCCGATAGAAGATTAATCGAAAGATCGGTGCGGATCCGCCCACCTCTAGTTTAACAATTGGAAGACTATATTCACGAATTATACGAGTATCTCGCGTCGATCCGCGACATTCTCCTGTACCGATTCCGAGGAAGCCGTTTTCTTTTTTCTCTTTATGTATTTGAAACCCTCCGACAGAATCTGTTTCTCGTAAATTTCAGTAATCTCGTCAATATTATCGGCGCGGTAGAATTCGGATATCGATTCCGTAAAGTTTAAATTATAAATCGAAGGCGCGTAAACGATTTCGCGCCGTCCGAAGTTTATTAACGGCGTATAGAGAGACACCGTATCTTATTCTAATTTCGACGCGGGCGTGGTACGGCCGTTTCGACAGCGACGTACTTAAAAAAGCTGGAATTTTCTTATTTATCCCGGTATACTTTGCCGGGGAAAGGGCGACGTTGTCTATACGTTTATTCCGGCGCGGATCGTCGTCGAAAGTTATTCCCGAAAACTTAATTAATAGCGTTTACTTTTTCTACGTTATAATCGGTTATTTCGATTTCTAGGCGATGCGGATCGATTACAGTAGAGCATCGTTTATCCGAAAGCTGGTTATCCGAAACGTCCGTTATCCGAAAGCATTCCAGTCGACAAATTAAATTTTTGCTAGTGCTGTGGCGCTGCAATCTTCGGCTATTTCTCGGGCTACTCAAATATTTTACGTTTTTGATACTAAATTAACATCTGAAATATAATTTTTTTATTGTTTTTATATTTTTCGATAAATTTATTTTGTTTGTACAAAATAAAAAAATAATTTTTAACGATACAATAGTCTTCGTTAGGCTTAACATCGACGAAAATTCAACGCGCAGCGACACACAACGGAGAAAAATGTCAAGATGGGATAAATTAATATATTTTTTCTTGCATAATCGGTTATACGAAACATCGATCTTCCGAACAACCCCGGTTCCCTATTGATTCGGATAATCGACGCTCTACTGTATTCTCTTTTGGTATGTAGTTAAACAAATCGTTAATATATATATTGAAAGGCGGTGGACCCGAGATCCAACCTCAAGGAACGCCCTTATTTGGCTGGAAAGAGCTAGAGATAATCCGTCCAATTTTTACCAAGTAAATTCTGTTCGACGAGTAGGATTTTAACCCGCTTAGAGGAATCCCTCTTAGACCGACGGTTGGCAATTTTTGAAACAAAAGTTGGCGATTTAAGCTATCGAATGCCTTCGAAAGATCCGCGAAAACCGATATGGCTATTTTTGACGCGCGCTATCGTTTGTTAGACCGAAGTCTATCGAACAGCGAGTATTTTTTCCGTATGTAGTCGGTTGATTCCAATCGGCCGGAATTGTTAAATTTTCGGCAAAGCGAAAATTCGCCAGTTCGCAGGTGTCGGAGGAGTTATTTTTCGGTAAATCGATGTTAAAATCCCCGATTATTTGTAATTTATATTTTCCGTATTTGGTTGATTTGTGTAATATTTCGTTTATAACATCCGGGAAAATTCCGTAGTTTGTAGATGGGCGACGATAGACTATTACCAGCATCAAATTGCCTACGACTATCGTAATTACATCTATATAATTCCTTGTAAAAGTTAGATCTTCGTGTTGTTTATCATTGTGTATATATATTGCCTCCGTGCTGATTAGGTTTTCTTTCTATTTTTTCTTGCCGATAGTCTTTTATATACGGTGATGGATTTACATCATTTGTCCGAGTCTGGCAAAAAGCTAATACATGGAAGTTACGGTTATATTCCTGGGTTGTTTTAAGTATTTCTAAATATTTGTTATTTAAACCTCTTACGTTGCGATAATAAACAAATATGCCTTTTTTGGAGAAGTCGTCTATCTTTATGTGTGCTAATAATTCGGTCGTTTCGAAAAATTTTCTCTAAACTGTCCAATGTCGGTATCCGAATTGTTGGAGAAGTGTCCTTTTTTAAATACGCATTTCCGTTATTTGTCCAAGTGTTTAATATTTTTCCTTGTTTTTTTAACATTCTGGTTTTATAGAAAATATTTCTATAATATGGAGTAAGATGTTCATTTACATATATTCTATATTCCTCGTTTATAATGTGACACGCATTTGTGGTTATTTTTAATAGACTATTATTTATAATTTTTTGTTTGACAACCGAACTGGCGCATTTCGCTATAATTGGTTGCGATCTAGTTTCGAATTACTTTCTTTCGTTATTACTGGGTTTAATTCTATAGGCATTCGATAGAGCCGACTGATTAAAATTATCGTCGACCAACGAAAAAATTTTATGCGCTATTTCTGTTAAATTCTCATTCTGAAGTGTCGGCACGCCGACAACCTCCGAACTCGAGTTGTTTACATCCCGCTCCAACGTGCAGAATTTTTCTTTTAAAGAATTTAATTCTGCCTTTGTACTTTTATTCTCTTCCTTTAGTTCAGTAACTGTTTCGGTAGCAGTTACGTAGTTTTTCTCGAAAACATTAATTTTATCTTCCATTTTGTCTAACTTATTTGTTAAGAATTCTATCGATTTCTGGATTTCTATGTTTGTTTCTTTTATGTTACTCGACCCCGAGTGTATTAGTTTCGCTTCTTGTAAAATCATTTCAGAATTTTTTGTAGTTATACTTAAGGGTGACGTTGAAGTGAAAGTTAGATTATCCGGTGTTCTATCCACGTTCTTATTATAATTATGTGAAGTCGTAATAACCCGCTGGCACTCACCCGGTTCTCTGTTGTCTTCCAGTTCCTGTGTCCAATTTGCGTTGTTCTTAATGGTTTTCACTAATTTGCAATCTTCGCATTTCCAAGTTTCTTTGTAAGACTCGCTGAACTTACGAAAGTTCGCTGCCCGGATCCCAAAACAATAGAAATGAGAAAATTTAGAACAATTGGAACGAGTTAACCAGTCACTTTCCGAAACTTTGCGCTTGCAAAAAGAACAGGCGCTCGAACGACGATTTGCCATAGCTCCACGCCTCCTCCCGAATTTGAAAATAGCTTTCGCTGTTAAAATAGTGTAAATTTGTAAAAATATTTACAAGAACTTTGTTTCGTCGTAATTTCACTATTTCTACGAAATTCCTGGACTGTCCGGGTGAAAACCGGACGGGCGGTAACACTAACTACAAATATCTGCCATTAGTCACCAGTGGTTCTTAACCTTTTTAGTGGTCGGAACCCCGTCGAATCCGAAAATAAACTCTCGCGCCCCGTTAAAAAATGTGTGTATGTTTTTATTTAAGAAAAAACATTTATTGTATAAACCAATGCCGTGTTTATTTACAATATATATTACTATCTAAATATATAAAATTGCTTGTCCTGACTGACTCACTCATTCATTCACTGATTCATCATCGCCCAGAGCAAACCGCTTAACCTAAAGAGGTGAAATTTGGTACACAGTTAGGGTACGTCATGGAAACGCACACTAAGAAAGGATTTTTCGAAATTCCAACGCGGGGGGGTGAGGGGGAGCATTAAGTCTTAACCGGANAAAACATTTATTGTATAAACCAATGCCGTGTTTATTTACAATATATATTACTATATAACATAAAAAGCTATATTTAAATTTTAATGGCTAGGTTGTTGTTTATTCGTAATAAATCTATTAAAATGAGGCTCTTTTCTGTAAGAGCCACGCGTAAGTCACGGGATGCATTTAAGCGATTTCTGGCTTTTGTTTCGATGCGCAAAAGCGCCGTATTCGAGGTACGCGAACACGTCTCGACTAGTTTCTGTACTGCGCGTGACAATGCGAATACATTAAATGCGTGTACCGACGACTGATGACGAGCGCTATGTATCGAGAGACGGTAGAGTAGAAAGCGGAGAAGTGGGGTGCCGCGTTGCCGGATACCACGGTTTGTAGAGAGAACACGGTCGCCTCTTTCGTATTTTTTTTTTTATTTTCGAAACTCTCGCACCCCGGGTTAAGAATCGCTGCTCTAGACCACGAGCCATTGTTAGTTCTAAATTATGCCGCTGTGGCAAACAGCGCCGTAGGCCTCGAGCTCGATTTGTGGTATTTTCTAGTCGTAATTACAAATTACGAATGCTTTATTCGCAATTACTATTAGTTAACAATGAAAACAAGGTACATTTTTAGATATACACCTTATTTATAAACGAATCATTTTTCCATAAAAATATATATACAACTAGCTTATCGGTCGCGGATTGCCGCGATCTCAGAAGAAAAAAAATTCAAGCAAACTCGTTACGATAAAATTCAATTTACATTTTATCATTTTTATCGAAACTTATTATTCATTTTCATGGGGAAAACATTTCAAAGTGTCGTTTCAGTTCTATTTATTTATTGGAGCGCTCGTGGATACACGATATTTTTTGTTTTTCCCTCTGGTGCACGAAAAACTCTGGTCGAAAAACCTTCCGATTTATTCGTAGAATAAATCGGAAGGTTTTTCGACGCGTGAGCCGGCCACATCCATGCGAGAAGCACGGATTCTCCAAATCTAGCCCACACACTCGCGGCGATTGTCAGAAGCGCGACATTCCCCATTTTTATATATATATTTTTAAACCTTTACAATTTTAATTATTTAATTGCTTCTTCCTCTCTTCCTCGGCGCGTTGTGAAATTTCTGATAGTCGGATAATAAACCGTTTTATTGTAATTTATCTTTTTAAATTATTTTGAGTCGATATTAAAATTTGGAAAAGAGGATCCCTAGATCGGTAAAATAGGAGAATTTCCTCCTACGACTTCGGTCGTTATTC